ATATATATATATATATATATATATATATATAACAATAAATTAATAAACTTACGAATTTATTTTGTATTATAATAGTTTTTTCTAAAAAAATATAACTTTCTTTTATCATTACTATATAATTTCCAATCCAGTGACAAACTTATTTTTATGAAATATTGAATATATAATTAAATAATTTATTTTGTCTATAGAAAAGTTCTTTACTATTTACAATTTTTTATTCAAATTTTAGTTAACATGATATTTTTAAATAAAATAAAAGAAATGAATGTTGTTTTATTAATGAGTGTCAAGGATTAAACACAGTATAAATATTTATCTTAAAATAAATAAAAATATATATAAATACGATTTTGTTGAAAAACATAGGTAAGTGCAGTGGTATTTAACTTAAAGAAAATGAAAAAGAAGAGAAAGTTAGTTAGAGTTGGTGGCAATTTGCAGAGAAAATGGAAAAGAGTGGGAAATCAGAAGCGGCGTTACGTCGCTGCGCAAAAGCTGCATTGCTTCTCCATTCCTTCAATTCCTCCAACTCCCAACACCAGGTGAAAACCTTCTCTCTCTCTCTCTCTCTGATTCTCACGAATTGATTCATGAATCGATAATTGATATCAGGAAAAGTGGGAGAGAGAAATCCATGACCTGAAAATTCAGTTGGTGAAAGAGCGTTTCATGAAGAAGAAGATCAAGCTCTGCGCCATGGCGGAGCTGTTCCTTCAGCTCCTCTTGTGTCTCTCCATTTCGACCTTCCTCCTCTTCTACTTTCTTTGATCTACAGAGACTCTTCTTCTCGCTTAGCCAATATAAACTCTTCTACTTCCTTAATGTCCACACGCACTGTATGCTAAATGAATTTTTGCTCTCATTTTAAATCACCCGCTCTTTGCTTTGAATCTCATAATTGGATATTTGATTTTTCCTCGTTTGTGTTTGAATTCCTTTCATGAATGTAGTGACGGAAATTTTGGTTTATTTGATTTCATCTTCCCTATAATGATCTGTATTTATGGGTATAATATGAAACGTGTATTAATTATAGATTATTATTATACGGTAAAAAATTTCTTAATTTTGTCAAATTGTGATATAAGTTATGTAAAATCATAAACAGCTGCGTGGTTAAAGGTTTCAGTGGCTGTAGAAGCTCAAATGCTCAACTATATAGCCTTAGGAAAATTAACATTGGTTAACAATGTTTCGGCATTAACATATTTTTCAAAACAAAATTCGTAACACATTTTTCATATTGCCAACTCTCGAAAAAAAGTGAAAACTATCACATGATATAAAGGGGGATAAATCAGTACAGAAGTCTCACAAATCATAATCACCTTTGTAAACAATGAAATCAAATTAGTTATGATAATTATTTATAAGAATTATATATGATTACATATATCTTCATTTATTGGGTAATCCCTGAATGAAAATAAAATAAGTGGGTGTTGGGCTTTTGGCCTGGACAAATTTGGTCATCAAAAAAGAATTTACAAGCAATTATGATCTTTGATTGCCATTTAAATTCTTTTTCCGTCAAGTACTATCGAAGTTATACAACAAACTAGCCAACCAAAGAATACAAAAACAATTGCAGGAGACAAATACAAAGGGGATGAGCAAAACTACAGATAATACAATTATAAAGAAAAAACAAAGTGATTCAAGAAATAATTGAAGCAGTTTTAGTAATATTGGCAGGCCTGCAATCACAAGTACACAGTTTTCTAGATCCTTCCACTACACGTTGAGATCTTTTTGTGTGAAGCTTGATGTTCACCAACTTCCCAGCCATCTGAAGCATCAAAAATAGAGAGAACCATAGTAAGAAGATGCCTACCATCATTCCTTCGCCTCAGAATACACTCAACATAAAGGTAAACCAAACATCACAGAATATCATATGCCTACACCAACCATTTTCAAATAGTTAAGAATTGCCAAGAGAATTATAGAAATATTAAGCCATGTATAGGATTAGAATGCAAATTTTCCATGATTCCTCAACAGACATTTCTGATGGTTTCCAACACAAATTAAATGTACATACAATACTAATTTCTCCAAAAAAGAATAATATTAGTATGATATAAAGAATAATTTACAAAATAAACAGTAATCCAAGTAAATCTAAATTAGAATAACTAACGGTTTGGCAAACAGATGTAAGCACAAGGAGAAATGTAGGTTAATAGTGTCGATGTTGATAGCAGAAGGATATTTCATTCTTTCATATATCTCTTAAACAAACACCAGGCCAGCACAGGGCTAGTAGTGTCACACAGACAGAATCTTTACCTAGGCCTGTTCAGAAGCGCACTTCTAAAGAGCAAAAACTAAGAAAAAATTGAGTTTTTCTACAAGCTAAAATTAGTTTATGAATTAGCCAATTTGTACTAGTTTTCTCATAATTTCTCTAAATTCTTATTTTTAATTTGTGTATGATCTAATTTTAACTTAGGACAAAGCCATTTAAGTTTTTTCTTCTTATTTTTCTCTTTTAGAAGTGCTTATGAAGAAATTTGTTCACACATACCCCTAATAAAATCTAGAAAATGAAAGGCAAAGAAAAGCTTCTACAAAACAAAAGTAACCCAAAACTATTTTTAAGGTAAAATGTCTGTGAACAATACAAGTAAACTACGTCTGTCAATATTAAGCCTTAACATATTCTGATCGCCACCTTTCTTCACTTGTCACATTTTTCTCTTTTAGAAGTGTTTCCAGAGAAGTTTATAAACATACTCCTAATAAAATCTAGGAAACAAAAAGTTATAGTCACAGCATTTAGAGCAAAGTAAAACAAAATGTAACCCAAAACTTATTTTAAGGTAACACGTCCTTAAAAGTGAAACACTACAGCTAACTAAGTGTGTCAGTATTAAAGCTTAACATAGATTGCCACCTTTCTCTTACTGGTCATATTCCACTTCATTCACTATATGGCGTCAAGAAATAAACTCATAAAAAACTATAAAACAAATGAACGAATAAGCATAATTGTGTTCTTTTTCAAAAACTAAACAAAAAATCTAGAAACAATAATAGAAACAGAAACTTAAATAGAAAAACAAACAGTAGCAAACCATTTTCCAAACCAAGTCTTCAGGACTCAACGGCTGAGCTGGACTAGAATACAGGAAATGCCTTGAATACTGAAAAGAAAAAGGAAAACATCAAACATCAAACAAGCAAGAAAGGCAATGCACAAATCATTTTAGAAAATGAAAAATCAGTTAAATTAAATTCTACATGAAGGGAATTACAAACCTTAGCAAGATTTTGTTGCATTTCTTTGATACGAGCAGGTCTGATGCCTTTCAAATAATTCAAAAGCCAACCTGGCTTTAGGGCATCATTAGAGGAAATGAACAATGCTATCTGCATACATAGCAAAAAGTTAATGGCAAATTCCCATAAAAAAAAATAAAAAAAAGAACAAACGTTCATAAGGGCCTCCGAGTTACCAGATAATAGTCATATAGCATATCACACACTCTGCAGTTTTGGTCACTGGGTATACGTTACCTTGGAGTGTCTTTTTAAGGTTTTACTTTTAACAAGAGGCCCAAATTCAGTAACGGTATGCAATATATGTGTTCTTCGGTGCATTGGTTGAAATAAATGCATGTTATCTTGGGTTAGGATTATGATTATAGTTTCTCTTTGGGTTTTATGCTCATGGGCCATGGCTATCTTGTCAATACTGTCACTTCCAGCTCCAATACACAGGGTCAGATAAACTGGATTGGCCCAGCTGGACTATTTTGGGGTTCCTGCTATCCCCTTGTGCTTTTTTTTAGTGATCAGGGAACCCTTTATATTTTTCTTCAGTAAAACTTTTATTCTATACATATCTATTCATTTTCAGAGAATGAGTTAAAAACAACTCAGTTAATCATATAATAGAGTCCTGCAATAACATATATGTTCCTCTTCATGCACCAAAAAAAAAAGAAAATAACCGGGTGTCCAATCTAGTTATCCAATCCCCTAGGTCTGTCTCTCTAATAAAAGAAGCTCACGCAAGAAAATAGTCAATATTAATCATCTAAACTGGTAGGTACTATGTAAAATGAGATAGGTATTATGTACCGTTGTAACATATATAAACCAATCGATATTCCCATTGGGCCTTGTCACACAGTCCACACCAAAATAAATACCATCCCAAGCAAACAAGTTATTTTAACCATTATTTTATTGCAATTATACCATTAACTCTCAATTATGTTCTTAATGTAATTAGATACATGATATAAATGCATACATACACACCTTCCTGTAATCAAGTATTCCTTCAAAAGGAAGCTCCAGCTCATCACTTATTATAACTGGAATGCATCCACTAACAATGGCATCAAATAATCTAGCAGAGGATGGAGTGTCGCCAGCTGGGCTTAGGCAAAACAGAGACCTGATGATGTGCAAGGCAAGCAAATAAATACAAAAAAGTAAGGAACCAGAGTTCATCTATCCAAGTGCTGAACTTATATTACTTGCGCATGCCAATTTGAGCAGCTTCTTTTCCCCCCTCCCCAGCTGTTCCCTCCTCTATACTCACACCATCAGCCCCACGTAATTCGTCGACAAGTTTAGAGCGTATCTTTCCTCCCTGAAACAAGATCGCAAACAAAGAAACTAAAAATATAAAAACATTGCAGCCAGTCACGTGAGCAGCAAAAAAATTTGAGAAGGCTCATACGTAGGGGATATCACACATCCTGATTTTAGTTGCTTAAAGACAGTTCTAACTCATAAGAAACTAACGTGACAAAACCAGAAAAAAGATACAACGATACTCTCCCACCCATTGACAATACTTGTCACTTCAAAACATAAGATGGAATACGACAGTTAACCATTAACTCAGATTTCTAGATTTCAAGTGAAGTGACATCAAATGCAGATAGAACTTTTAAAGCTTCCACCTACCAGTCAATAAATTAACCAGGCATCACACAACATGCTTACCGCATTTCTCTTGAGCCGGCCCCGAAAGAAAAGCAGCATATTTCTCTTAGGATTTGTCTCAGCCAAACACTTGGCATCACATAAATCAAGATTGGGAACATAGGAAGAATCAGGTCCTTCTCCAGAAAAACCTGTCCTGGCTTGTACCTGAAAGAGGAAAAGGATCACTGGATGCCACTTCTAACAAACAATAACATTGAATTTAAAAAGTGGTGTGCAAGTTAAAAAATGACCAGTTCCCTGTGGAATCCATATCAGGCAACAACCATATTGCTTTCTTCACGTCTTTTCGAACAGACTTAAAAGACCAGGGATGATGCACAGGGATTATGTGATCTCTACCACCAGAGCGCTTCCATGCAGGTTGATCAGTGATCCACTTCAAAGCTTCCTACATCCACAACAACATCAGGCATAATTATCCACATTGCACTAGCCATCAAACCAGAAAAACAAGGTTCTAGTATTGTTAATAGTCAAGGAATAAACTCTCAATTTCCTCCAGAAGTATTACCCTCTCTCCTAAATACTAATATTGTTAATAGTTAAGGAATAAACTCTCAATCTCCGCCTGAAGTATTACCCTCTCTCCTAAATACTAATTTTTAAAGTAATACACTGTCTACAGTCTCCTAAATATGGAAAACCTTCAAATTAGTTCTTAATTGTTAGTAAAGTTTATTTCAAACTCGGGGGCTAAAACATTATTTCGGACATTAATACTTGGGGAATAACTTATATGGTTTTATTATGTAGGAAGAGAAGGGTAATAGTTGGATAATCAAATTGGTGGTTCATGCATAATTGAAAGAAGCTAACATAAAGAGAAAGAGAGCATTAGAAGAGCACTCACACCCTATAAAGGGCCTTGCATTGTTGTTTTTCCATGAGGAAGAAGCTGATAGTGGTAAAGAAGGGTACGTAAAACAAATCAGCCTCCTCCTGTC